CCCCCGCCGCCCCGCCCTCCTCTGCCCGCCGAGGCCCCGCTGCTCCCCGCAGGCCCAGGAGCAGTTTCAATAAACGTTGCACAGCGCCATCTAAAGTTGGTAAATTCCTCTCTCTCTCTCCCTCTCTCTCTCTCTCTCTTTTTTTTTTTTGGTGTGTGTGTATTCCTCTCTCTCCCCCTTTCTTTCCTATTGATTTGCACCAGACACTTAAATCTTCTGCCCCGATGTCGATAATTCGTCTCACACTCTGAGCCCCCCCTCCAACCCCGCATGGGCTGCGCGGGGCCAGCAAGACCCTGTTGATGCTGCCGTCCGATGTGTTGAGGCTGTACACGCTCACTCAGAGACACTCACACACACACACACACACTCAAATGCACACACACAGATACACTCACACGCACACTGCCAGGCCCGCGGGAAATCCCACACGTCCCGGCTTCATTTCGGCTCCCCTTGCCGTGTTGCTACCCCGCCGTGCCGCGCTCTGCACCTTCCCCTGATGGCAGAACCGGCCCGCAGCCCTGGGAAGGGACGGGCCGAATGGAGCGGCCACATCGTGACTACAGACACGGGGGGAAGCCTGGGGCAGAGCAAAGAGGGACAAAGAGGGGTTAGTTAAACAGGCGAGGTTTACACCCGCACACGTAGTTGTGCTTTAGGGCTTTTCTCTGAGCACAGCCGGGCTGGCATCAGGCTCAGGAGCCAACGGGCTCCACCAGGCCGGTTTGGTGGCCTGGCCAGGGCCCGCTGTGTCCTCGCTGTGGGACAGGAGCGGTGTGTGGAGGAGTGTCATGGGGCGAAGCGGGCACACACGTGGAGGCTCTGAGTGGCGGCCAGGCTGGCCCAGCTCCTCCCAGGCAGGATGGGGGGCTGGACGGTGCGGAAGGGGCACCCTGCCCCTGGGGGGGGCCTGGCAGCAGCCAGGGAGCTGCGAGCCCCAGCTTGAAGGCAGGACGGCCTCCACCTCCCTGACGTCGGAAACCGGGGCAGCCGCCTCCCCCCATCCCAAGGCGGGGGTGAGAATCGCAATTAGCACCGAGCAGAAGGGCCCCCCGACCCCCTCAGCCCTCCCCCTTCCACTGGTGGGTTCCGTCTTCCCCCTTCATCCCCCCACGTCCCCCTTCGCCACCTTCCGAGGGCAGATCCAGCCGCTAAGGGGCCTGGTCTGCCCCGACGGCCCCGCGGGGAAGGGGGAGCTGCCGGAGGGGGGATGGATCCTGCCCCTCTGCATCTGCAAGTGCCACCGGGGTGGAGGGAGCCGCGCGTGGCGCCTCTGCCCGCCCCGTCGGGCCGGGACGCAGAGCCCGTCGGGGACCTTGTCGCTCTGCGCTGCCTTTCGAGGAATCAAAGCGGACGCGGCTGTGACACGTAGCCCGGCGGGTCAGAGGTCACGTTTCACCATCCCACTTACAAAGGTTTTGAACCGGGTTTGTCTTGAGGGCTCCGACGGCCGGGAGCGCTACAAGACGGGCTCCTTTCCCCTCTCTTTTCCTGTCATTTATTTCGGAGACCTCGGGGCGCCTTCGGATCTGCTCCAGCCCCACGTCCCGGCACAGGGTCCGCCACGACAAAGTACCGGGGCAGCAAAGGGAGGTCTGGCCCCGGCACCGGCCCCCACCGAGACGCTCCCTGAAGAGGAAGAAGGATGCGCAAGAGCCCCCTCCATGACCCCCCTGCCAAGTCAAAACCCTCGGGGGCCGAGGCCACCCGGAATAGAGAGATCCTCTCTGCTTTGCAGTGAATTTGCAGCGTTTTTTCAAGCCCCGCACCACTCCCGCCCGACCAGTAAAGCCCGAGGCAGCGCTAACAAGGGACTAAGCAGAGGCAGATGCTCTGCTGGCCCAGCC